GGACCTGAATTAGATAAGGCGTTAAAAACAGCCAACGAGGCACCTGTCGCAATAAAAGATAAAGCATTGCAGAAATATCTCCCTTATCTTTTGATTAGAACTACACAAGTGCGCCTGTCATGATGCGGGGGAGCATCAAGTTACTCGAAATCTTTGGGATAACCAATTAATATTTTTTTAAATATAATAAACGTATATTTAAACTCTGTTCGTACATGTGAACATTAGTAAAAGTGTAGAATTTACGGAAAACTACTCCAAATAATATTAATAATAATAATAATAATAATAATAATAAATTGCCCTTATTGCAAAAACTTACCATTATCAATAATAAAGCCTTAAATAGACAGAAAAACTCGCATTTACATAAAAATTGCTTCTTTACCTTAAAAATTATTTTTAGTTGAATTTATTTAATACAGTTAGAATTGAAAAAATTCCAATTTATAAAATGCTCTACTACAAAAAAATTAGAAATAACGTCGTGGTTCGTAAAAATAATTTACTATTTGAGAATAATAAAAATGCCACATTAATTAAAATTTGTAGGCAAGAATGAACAATGCTATAATATCTTTGTTGAGAAGTACAAATGGAATTGTGAACGTAGAAGAATATTTCAAATCTCTTCATTAATAATTCTTCGTACTTCTATTAGCTCGTTGCATGTTCCCATAAAGATAATTTGCTAGCTTCTAGTCACCTAGCAGCTAGTACTAGGACTGTGGGGAATCAGAGCTGCTTCAGGAGAGTTTTTCCTCTGTGAAAGTGTACAGCCAACAATTATTTTAAACAGTTATGAATATGCTTAAAAGGGAATATTATTTGTGATTATTATTTAAAATATATTATTTTTCGTTTATGATTACTCAAGCGCCCCAGAACAGAGGCTCTACGCAACCCGCTGCACCCTCAAGTATTACGCGCGTGTTCGCTGCATATTCTGCCCCTGCGATAGTGAAATATCGGCCGGAATTATTATTTAATGTTATCTTGAACAAGTAAATCAAATTTTTCCTACAGTGTGATAACGGGTGAATGCAAGAACTTGAAGAACGTTTTAACAACAGGACAACCACGTCCAAACCAGGACATTGAACAAACTCATACTCGGGAGAAAGTAATTTATCTAATAAAATGTTCGTAGGGCGATTAACAATCACGTGACCAGTAGCGTGTGAAGTGTAATACAACAGCGGCGCATTGCCGGGTCCACTAGTTTATAATAATATTTTAGATGTATAAATTCTATTAAACATTTGTAGCTTTTAATATTTTAAACGACACTCTCCAATATTTTCTGCCCCCATTCTTGGTAAGAAAGCTCTGGCGCGCACGCACTCACCATGGGCTAGTGGTGATGGTGTGGCGGGCCGTGGTGCGGTGGCCCGTGGTGCGGTGGCCCGTGGTGCGGCGGGCCGTGATGCGGGGGGCCATGGTGTGGTGGCCCGTGGTGCGGCGGGTGCGGGCCGGGCGGGTGAGGCGGAGGTCCGTGGTGCGGGGGTCCGGGCGGATGGTGCGGATGGTTCGGAGGGCCGTGGTGCGGGGGCCCGGGCGGGTGGTGCGGTGGGCCGTGGTGCGGGGGTCCGTGTCCGTGGTGTGACATGGCGATCCTTCAAACAGACAGACGTCGCTGCAACGCTTGGCACCGGCCCGAGGTCTGGGTAGCTATGGCGCGTCGGTTGTTAAGTTTGTGTTATGTTAACTTATGAGGACGGTGATGCCAAATTTGACACTTACTCCACCACTGCTTCTTGCGTTACGAAAACACAAGTAAATAATGAATGTTGTAAGATAGAAACATGGTAAATATCGAACTTGAACTAGCAAATTAAAACAATCGTATTGAGATTGTTTCTCAAATCTCAATATTTGAGGAAGACGTGGCAACGTGTGGGTATTCCATCAATCGAGTCAACGGCGACCCAGAGATCTAAATTAATTCTAGACATAGGGATAACTTTCTGTTATGAATATGTATCGACCTTTTTTTCTGTAATTGAACAAGGAAAACATTGCGAAAAATGTTAATAAGAACATACAAGATAGAATTTCCAAGATTGGATTCAACACGTTTATTTCAACAGAAAATATTACACCACTACTTGTTGTTAACACTACATTGTTAAGTTCGTTATGGTTTTAAAAATTATGATTTTCAATTTAACCAATTTTAAAAGATATATTATTTTTTTCTCGTCTAATATGTTTAGTGCATTTGATTATACCATAAGCAGATTGTTTTATTCCTCAATACAGCCACTATTATTGATCTTGTTAATATAGTCTGTTAACTGCGATAAAATAACGTGAGGGATACATACCGATACTATTTACACAACAATTCAACTCTCTTCCATGTAATATTAATACATGCTAATTGTGCTTTTATAAAAATCATTCTAACAAGTTTTGCGGAGTTTTGGGTTGATAGAAAAATATGTCCTTTATTCACTCCTTGCAACTCTGGTATCTCATTGATGTGGCATCTGATGAAAACGTCATGTACATGTTAGCGTTTTGCGTAATCTTCGTTTAAGGAAAGTTGAGAGACTTTGTAACTGATGCAGACTTTATCAACTAATTACGCATAAGATGAGAGGCAGTATATATGTGATAATTATCAAAATGACTTTAACAGCCATTAATGTTTCAGGAAAAAGACCGACCTCAAGATATCCTCTTCGTGACCTTCGTGGCCAATGAATTATTAACTTAAATGCCTGTTCTAAAATCTTCACAACTTATAAAGTAAATTGATTGTCGTTGGGAACATTTCTGGTGACAAAAATACTGGTGCAGGTGGGGGGAAAACAGGATGTATGCGCATTATTAACTGAGTGGAAAATAAGAAGGCAAAACCGTTTTATTTAACGTAATATTTATTACTATTGTGAAAAGTAATGTTAAAGGTGTTTTAAACAAAACCATGTAATTAGGTATAATAATAATAATAATAATAATAATAATAATAATAATTATTATTATTATTATTATTATTATTATTATTATTATTTATTTCACTCGTGTTAATGTATGTTGTTTAATATAAGTATATATTCACTAATCAAAAATATAATTTACCAATTTTTTTATAATGCAATGATAAAATGAAGATAATGGTTAGATGATTGTGAAAATACTATGTTAAATGTGACCAATTGAAGACTTTGCCAAAATTCAATGAAGAAAACCCGTACCAGAAACAAATTCTCGTTTCACACTTTTTGTCAAATTATTCTCAGATCTCAATCCAAAGTAGAGTTACCACGAAAAGATACCTCGAAAAGAACACCCTAATAATGAGATTAGTTTTGTACGTGGATTTTCAGTATATTTAAGCAATCATATCAAATATAAAGTATTTTCTACAATGGCTTATTTATTGAACAATCAAAAATTAAATAAAATCAATAAAACCGTGATGAATCGTAAATGTTAGTATTTTCCGATTCCTGTGCCATGTTCTCTGCCCGCATTGCACGTGTTATCTCTTACCTGCGGTGGTCGCTGCGATGTCTGCACGAGGAATACGCGCTGCGGCACACGTTCACTCTTTTATGTGAGGAAGAGGGGGCGGGGTCTGCTCACGTATGTTGCCGCCGCGCCTGCGATTTTTCCGCGCCACGCCCACCCAACTGCGCGCCCGTCTTCCCGAAATCGTTACGTTGCGAATATGCGCGAGCTCTGATAGCGATACAGGGATACGATTCGCTGTTGGTATCAACGTTACGAATTTTTTTTTTCAAAGATTAGAGTATACTTTTTGTAGAATCTACTGAAACGTGGCACAACATTTATAAACAGGCCGCATTTTCTCGAATATAATTGCTACCTTCGTTCTTTTTGGGGGAGGGGGAACTGAATTTCGAAAAACTTCTGTTCTTGGTATGTTTTTTGTTAAAATAGTGGTATAAAAATTGCTAATTCTCTGAAATTTATGTTATGAGCAGACGGTAAGAAAATTTCTGATGCTATGTCGGAAATAAAAATCTCATAATTTGTACCATTAAGAAACGAAAATATTTGAAAAATTATTTTACTTCATTTCGAGATCCTCGCAAACTAGCCCCCTGCCATTTTTATTGTCAAATTTTGGAAAGAAAGAGACTTACATTCGAGAAAGTACAGTAATACTCTTTGATGAACAACCCTGAAGTCTAGACGAGTGAATAGAGTGCACCGAGGGGCCTGGAGTTATTGGCAAACAGCTCGCCTTCAACATTTGTAGGTGTTTGTTTCTGCTTGTTTTCATTTACATTTCCGTTCTCTTCTTCACTCATATTTACAACATTCATGTTACGACTTACTATACAAATTGTACGTAGAAGTACGTAAACGTATGATAAACCAAAATCCCCGTCGAACGTGAAACGAAACTTTAAATAATTGGTGTTCTTAACGCAGACCCCCTTGTGTAATTAAAAATCTATCATAAAAATGGATCCATTTTTTTCTTTTACGCTCAAATAGAGCCAGTTACGCTTATACAAATTGCACAGCCCGAATTTTCATTAAGATCCTGGAATTTAAAAAAAGCAAAATCTCAAATTTGTTTCGACACCCTCCTTCTACTACATTATGGAAGTTGGTGTTTTCTTTCTAAATGCAATCAATTCCTCATTATTAGATCTTCAAACCATTCAAAAAATTGATAGCTTGGAAGAATTTTTGTTAAAAGAACCGTTTTAGTTTTTCAAGTGCTGGTTGAAGTGTAAGAACAGAAGTTGCAATATTACAATATTTCCGAGCAGTTTAAAGTGTTGTAGTAGAGAATTCTTCTTCAGAATAATATATTTTTACTTCATTGTTAATGCAATATATGATATAAAATATACTATATAAATTTCTTCATAGAATTTTATTTACAAACAAATTACGTCGAAATTCTTTTTTTGCCTGCATCATCATGATTGTTGTTGAAAATTGTTTTATTACCAAAGGAATAGGTGACAAGGATTAATCAGAGAAGTAAGCGAGTATTTATAATTTAAATACCAATTTATTAATAGTTTATTTTCATTCGTTTCATACAATTTTAGTAAAATACAAATGCAGCAATTGTTGGATACATATTTTTATATTGTCAGTTATTTTACCGATGTTTTTGAAGAACCTTTCCGGAAATTAAAGTATATGGGCTCATTCAGGAAATAGCTGCAACAGAAAAAAAAACAGAATAAAGTAAACTTATAAAAGTTGTTTGAACTTAGAATATTCTCTGAATGTATGTGAGTCATGAGTCGTTCACCCGCTTTTTGTTTCCTATCACTCGGTACTTTCAATGAAAGGTAGAATTGCATCTCTATCTATTGTCTAAAACGTCATAAGCTCACGCAACATTTAGAAAATTACGTGTTTAGAAATTTTAAGGGAATGTAAGAAGGATTACGTAGCCAGGAAAATTTCCTCTTAACAAAAACACACATTGAGAAGCGGGCCTCCTTCACTTCATTTCTCATACTCATTTCCGTCATTTTCTTCTAGCCATTGCGTAATGAATTTGAATAAAAAGGGGAGTTTTATTATTATTATTATTATTATTATTATTATTATTATTATTATTATTATTAATATCATCAAATTATTACATTACATAACGGTAACTTTTACAAATAGTACGGTCAAATGAACCGGTTTCGCGAGGCAGCGACATGGGACAAGTGAGCCCAAATATTTAGACAATAAGAGTGCGGTTTTTAAAAAATCTGCCTCAAGTGTGAATATTTTAAGATGTGTTCGTGTAGTGGATAGCATTACGAGTCCCCAAGCCCTAATCCTTCCTTAATCTCTTGGCCTAACAAGCAATTGTGTTTTTTCTGTGTATGTAATTAAGGAACTGGATCCCTTCATTCAGAACAATGATGCAAGCTTCGAGATTAAACAAAGGGACACCATGGGCAAATAGGTAAAGGTAGAGGACCGAGAGACGTCTATGGGACGATCGGGGAGCACAAAGGTGCGAAACATTGGGGATGTCTTCTGAGGAGCGTTGGCAACGACGTGCTGGTAGGCCTTCTAGGCTCTGGGAGGAGGGAAGGGCGAAACGGAAAAGCTATCCCAGGCTCAAGAGAATAGGAAATTACAAACAGATTAAATGGTATGAGATGGTCTCTAGCGCTACTAGTTCGTTTTCTGTTACCTACCAGTATAATACTTCGGTTTCAGAGAAGTAATGTCTACTTTTTCGTAAACTTGATGTAGTATTTTGAAATAAACAAGTGAAAAGTTCACCCTGACGATAGTTCAGTTCATGCTTGGCGAGAAAATCTTTTAATTCATGGAGCGTGAAAAATATTAAACGTAGAATGGTCTCGTTATCTCCCTAAAGGGGCGTAGCTGTCATTACGTGTGGAGAGAGCTGGAATAGATAAGCGCACCCTCGTTTCAAGAGACGTGACTCACGAGCAAGACAGTTCCCCAACCGTTCAAAATACCCAGAGTTATTATGCAGCCATGAGTTTACATGAACGCATCGATATTTTATAACATTTTTGCTCTATTATTATTATTATTATATATAAATATTATATATATTATTATATATTATTATTATTATTATATTATTATTATGTCTCACAGTTCACTGGTACATGATTTGTAGTCATAACAGATATAATACATCAAAGCATACAACAATAAAAATCAACAGTATGATAATTCTAGAGTTATAGACTAATACAAAAATTTAACATTTATAATATTCATAATTACTAATGTAATTAAAGTAGCAACTAAACACTCTCATCACTTCCCAAGAATTTTCGGACCAATGTGCATGTACAAAGTATTACGCATTTCTGGATATTGATTATGGCATTTTTATTTATTTTCAGCGTTTCTAGTGAATTTTTCAGTCTTCGGGATGACGCCCGTTGCTGAAAGAACCATGGGGACGGTTTTGATTTCCGAGATGTTCCATTGCTCCTTCACGACATGTGCCAATTATTATTATTATTGTTATTATTATTATTATTATTATTATTATTATTATTATTATTGTTATTATTATTGTTGTTGTTAATAGTATTATTATTATTATTATTATTATTATTATTATTATTATTATTATACATTTGCCTCAGTCCTTATCGGTTAAGTCATATAGGATCATAACTACGAAGTTGATAAACAAATACTTCACTTTAAAAACAATAATTTTCTTTTCGGGATACTTGCGTTTTCCGTTTTCATGGGATCTTCAAGCGTACGTCATTCGCAGCTTTAAATCTTTAGAATAATGAAAAAATGCGGCGCACTTAAAGTATTACTGACTTTTGAAAGTATGATTGTTATTATTTTTTGTATCTACGCTTTGCTCTCGTATATTCCTAATGGTTTATGTTTGGTTGGTCTCGCGGAGACAAGATCCAAGTTAGTTATTTTTTAAACAATTGGAGAACTTATATCAAAAGGATCTACCTCTACTGTCGTTTGTTTTATTGTGTTACGTTTCAGTATAGTCTTAACCCTTAACTGGAATCGTTGGATCTAATTTGACCCACGGAATTTTTTTTTGTTTACATCCCGCGTTTGCACGCCAAATTTATGTGCTGGCACCTTATCTTTAATCTCAATAAATGTGGTCAGTAACAGTCTAGAACTCTTTAGAGGAAGTTGATTTGTGCTCACAAAATGGAGTCCTAGTAACTGGAAACTTTACAATTTCTGTAATGTTATTCTTTTCGAGCTCAGAACCAAAATCTGCCCTTCCATTACACCCAACAATGAAATATAAAGAGCATTTTGGATAAGTTTATCAGTGTCTTGAAAAGAAGGACGCGACCTCAGTAATGCTCCAACAATATTGCTGCATGTACTTATTGCACCAACATGTATTGCATAAACAACATTTTTAACTTCAGAGTTACCTCTGTTCATTAGAACATTTAGGCATATCTAAAATGTTCAGAGAAATGTTTGCTAACAGGAAATTGGTAATTAAAAAAAGGAATAGCAAGAATAATTTTATTGATCCCCAACGAACATTACATTCTGGTAAATTTAAATAATTACATAACTTAACAAGGAGAGAAAAAAGATAAAGATAAGAATAAAGAGACAAACATTTTGATATGTTTTGTTTGCCACTATTGCTTGTTTGTAATTTTTGATTAAATGACGCATTCGTGTCACTTAATAACTCTTTTAAACAAGTCCTAACAATAAAAACTTACCATTATTTTGAAAAAAATCACTTTTCATAAAGATGTTATCCCAATCATGAATATTTATAGAAAATCCCTAGTAGAGTGCTTTAAAAAAACGAAACCTATTTAATTCAATATATTTCAGTTACAAACTTAGAGGAAAGCTGTTTTAATATATATTTATTTATTTTTTTATAAGTAATAATTAATATGTTAATGCAAATTTAATATGTGGGTATCCACAAACCCGATGAGACTGTTTACTTGGCCAAAATTCATTATATTACTTGGAGATTAAGGCACACAACCATCATTCGGGCAAATAATGCCTTCAAAAATTGTTTTTTATGTTGGACGGTATCCGAATATCATCTAATACTCTATGAATACTTTTCCACCCTCAAGATTTCTTACATAGAAATATGCCACTTTGAAAAAATCTCACCATTACCACTTTGGATTAATTCACAATCACCATTTACTGCCTTTCGCTTTTCATCCAATCTCGAAAATGAGAATCAAAAAGTCTAGTTTACCTGCGTTATTTCGGTATTAGTCCTGCCATGAACATTGTTATTGGTGGTATTAAGATATTTTGAAGTCTCTATTAATAATAATGCCCCTATGATATATCTGGACTTTCATCTTGTAAACAGAGTCTAGATTTTTGTCGTTGACAGCAACAAAATGGTAACGGCTGCGTCCTACGGTTATTCAATAACTGTTATATCTGAACTATTGTACAGTCCTGAGGTGTCTATAGAAATGCGCTGTCTTAGTATAGCTTCCACCTTTCATTTTCTAAGATTGTAACAGGATTGTGTTATGGGATATTGCGGTATTCAAATTTATACGTAGTATGAAGTGACTTGCAACAACTACTGCTTTTATAACCTTTGTTGCTATCATCCCTCCTTCTCCTACATAAGCGTCTTGGTATCCCAGCAATAAAAACATTGTATGGCCTCCTAAATAGCCTGTTAAAATGAGTAGGCGAATTTTTGACACGTTCTCAAGCAGTTGAACATCGTGAAAGACCTCTGCGAAACGCATTCTTCTGCCAGTCATACAGGCTGAAGCTCCAGCACGCCTCAAATTGTCAGCTCAGTACGTGCGTCAGAGGTTAGGGATATTTTTCAGGAGTTATTTACATTATTCCGGTGTCGTCACTAGAAATAATATCAATAGGATTGATACAAATCATGTATAAAATGGGGTGAAAATATGTAACTGATTCAAGTCATCAAACAAATGTACAGCTAGGCCATAAATGTTGCATTTTAAAAAGCACTCATTACAGTTGGCGGAATAACAAAAGTAACAGGGAGTAAAATTGTTTTAGGATGTCTTAGAAAGTTAACTAACGTGTGTGAAATCAATGCCGAACATTTGTACGTGTTACTCATCGATCGAGCCCCAATTTCATTTGTTAACATCGTTGCTCGGGAAGCGTTTTGGAACCTTTACAGAACATCTTGAAATTTTATTTTATTCCATTGGAGCGACTACTTTTTATCAATTCTTGCCAAAACGCATATTTCTTTCAGTATTCAGAATTCCACTTGTATGTGTCATAGGGTAGAGATTCCAGAATTAAGAAAACGTGCATAGAATACACATCTCGTAGCTCGTAACACACAATTTTAACTATTTTTTACGTACAATAAATAAAAATAAACATCTTCACGTTCTTTCTTCAGAGCTTGCAGTTTTAAACGAGATAACGTGTGGTTCACTATTGTAAGTATAACGCATTTTCTAGGAAAAATGTTGGTCAAGCTGTCGCCCCTGTGTTACTCTTCACACGTTGGAGACTAGAATACTTCAGCTCAGAGCTACGTTGAATACACCGTAGATTGCAGAACAACTCAAGGTGATATGCTGCGTTAATATTCCTGTCGCGAGATGCCTTCAGTATTTTGTTATCCACAAGAACGACCAGCATACTCAATTTGTAAACATCCGGTGTAGGTAATTGATGTGAGGCTAAGGCACAAACTGGGTTGTGACATGGCAAAGGAAGATACGCATGATTTTATTAATGTTATTGTAATGTGCACACCTGTAATTACGAACATACCTGTTGTCAGTGCGGGTGGTGCGGGGCAGGGGCGTGGTTGTGTGCGTGAGGAGGCGGCAGCGGCGGCACGCATGTGGTGGGCTGCGGGTGCGGCTGGTGCGGATGGTGCGCCTGGTGCAGAGGGACCGGGGGCTCGCACCTGGTGGGCTGGGAGAGCGGGTGGAGCAGCGGCGGCGGCGGCTGGTGCTGTTGCGCGGACGGGTCACTTACGGGCGCCTTAGCCTCAGACATCTGCAACACATAGCGCGTGCATCACCTTTTAACCGAAATACAAGCACTCTATGTAGTAAAAAAACATAAATGATTTGCTGCACAGAAATACGTGCCGTGGAAAGACTTGATTCCTATCTCTAACGAAGTTTTCGAAGGTTCCCGAGAGATTCTTAGAGCGAATTGTTCGTGTTTGCGTGCGGCCAGGAAATGTCCTCTTGCCTCAACGTCACATAAACGGAAAATTATCACTTGTGATCTTTATTATTATTATTATTATTATTATTACTATTATTATTATTACTATTATTACTGTCAAAAATGCGTTCCCAGCGCCCTACGCGCACGATTTCCCTTGCCAGCGCAGGCATCTCGCTCACCTGTGAAAGCTGCTACGACAAGCGAATTGGACCCGCTGAGTCTTCGGCTCTGAACGACGCCAAACTCAAATTCTGCTCCTACTGTCGACCTGTTCCTTCGCTCAAACGCTCTGTTATCTCTTCCTGCCACATTAGCTGTCGCGACATCGCCTTTACTGGGGCGGCTGATAGCGTTCGACTGATAGGAATCATCCCGTGATACACAGATTGGTGCTCAAACTGACGGGGAGAGTTCAGGGCAACAGCTGCTCCCAGTGCAGCGTCTCCAACAATTAGAACAAGGAAACATCGCTCGAATGTATGATGAAAATCAAAGAAATGTTACTAATCAGGTGTCCAAGAGAGCGCCATTGCTTAATATTTAGAGTTTTATGCTCACAATCTGCAGAACGTCATTTAATTAAGAAATAAACTGTTCTGAGAAAGAAATCTTTTGGCTTTAATATTGGAGGTTGTAGGACAGATTCGAAAATAAATTTTAAAATCAATAATGGATAATAACCTGGGTCTCAGTTCATTATATGGAAAATATTAGGGATTTACTTATACAGTGCGTGAATAAACAATACAGAATTTCACTGTCTGAATAATGCAACACAGAACAGGGATTTGTGTTGAAATATTTTCAGGTTCCTTTGGATATGCCCTTCAGGATTCCTTCTTGGATCACCACTAAGGTTCTTGCCTTTCACCCGAAACTCTTCACAGGAATGGGATGACTTTGTTTAAAGTGAAAGGCAATAACCTTAGTGGTGAGGAACTCTCAACAGGAAATTATAAGTAATAATGGATCATTCAAATATGCTGTTACAGATATTTCTAATTAGAAGGAATTATGGAAAGGTCAGGAAACCTTCAGGTTTGCTAAGTATTTGGAATAACAATAAAACGTTAATTACAAAAAGTACAAAATGTTTTATTTTCTTTCAATCGTTGAACAGAAATATATATACAGTTCATCACCAAAACATTTTTTGTCATAGATCTAATAATATACATATAATAATGAAATAACTATGGACAAATTAAAAAAATTAACTGCATCATTACATTATGCAGTATGAAATAAAAATGATTAATTATTTATATAACAGAAATACAATTTTTTACTTTTGATTCAAACATATAATTTAAACTATAATAATAAATAAATAAATTTATAGATACATAATAAAATATAAAGTCCACATCTCAATAGAGATTGTATTTGTATAGTACTATAGTAAGTAGTAACACATTGGTACATCTTATTGTATTTTATTTCTAATATTTGCAATTCATCATTAACTACTTCATCATAAAGCATCAAGTATTTCATCAACATTCGTCATCAAATCAGTTGTAACTGCTTAGAAAACGCTACTACCAGAAATATTCGATGTATTCCTAAGTAACATAATAAATATTCTATTTTATTCTAATATTAAAAATAGTTCTAATTTCTACGAGATAAATGTCTTACTACCCACACTAAGAATTGAATGACAATAATTATTGATGTTTTATTTTTCGTTTAACAAATTGTTAGCATTTCTTGTGTTGTAAATAAAACATTCACTAGCTTTCACAAGCTAGACAATAGCTTTCATAAGCTAGACAATAGCTTTCATAAGCTTATTTAAATAATCAGGAACTCATCACCTGCATAAATTTTCAAAGAATATTTACATTTTTTGAAACATTAATAAACTAATGGTACTACAACAGCACATTCTCGAATTTTTTGTGACTTTTGATCTTGAGGAAATAATTAAAAATGCTACCTTCGTTTTAAAAATACTATTCTATATCTTTTGCAACATGAAGATATAACAGAAAAATGAGCAAAGTGAATAACATTATATTATAACGAATGAAGTTCAAATTATTGCGTGAATAAATATGAAATATTCTTGTTAACCATACGTTCGACAATGATGTCATGACCTTCGCAAAAATGAGTCGAGTTCTTATAACCTGCTCATAAATACATAGAAGCAAGTTCAAAATTGAACTGTTTCAGTCACTTCATTGAATGGAATAGTAACTTCAATACAGTCGTACTTCGGATTTTTCTACTGGTGGTCCAGATTCGTGATGGGTGTATGATGAATCTGTACAACTGAGCATTAGGCTCTTTCATCTGCAACAACAAAAATAAATGATATCATAAAACATACAAAACAAAACAGGAATATGTTACTCTTTTTCATTATATATAAAATTTAAAAAGGATCTGCTAGAAATTGATATTAAGATTGATGCTTCATAAATATTTCAAAAGTAACATTTCAAAATAATTAGGTTTTCAGAAGAATTATTTTGATTGTCAATAATATTATGTTTCAAGTGTTTGTTATGTTAATGTGTTTTGATGTCATTGATTCTGAATAAAGAAGAAAGTGATGTTGAAGAAAGGAAGAAGAGAAATGAAAACCGGTGAGATGGATTAACATGTAAGGAGCTCATGAAGGAAGAAATGATAGTAAAGAAAAATAAATTATTATGAATGAAAAATGATGTAAAATTGCTGCGAGAAAAAGCTAAAAGTAGAAAAAAACCAAAACACGGAAAGTAAATAAATAATAGAGAGTTAAATAAATAGAAGACATATGTTGGCAATAGACTGGTTTTACGAACTCTCAAGAAAAGTAGAAATTTGCGACGAATGACGTATGTGAAAAGTGTTGGTAGAAAGAGTTGAAGAAACAGAAAAATAATGATTAAAAAGTAATTAAATGATTAGAAAGAGTGCCAGAAACAGCTAAGAGAGACTAAGTCTTAACAAGGGTGTGACGCAACGAGGTGCGCCCAAGCGTGCATTGAAAAGAAGTACTTACCAGAGTGGTCTCAGCGGCGACAGATGGGGCTGGCGAAGGCGAGGTCCAGCTCCGGGGGGCAGCTGGCGGGGCGGGGCTGCGAGCCTGGCTCTTGGCAGCGGCCGTGCGCGCAGCAGGGCTCGTCGCGGCTGCAGCGCCAGCCACCACCGCAGCCCCAGT